GACCATATAGCAACCATGGTACAAACAACTATTCCGGTAACTATGGCTCAAATGACCATCTAAAGACTGATGTAAATGAACCCATAATAATCATCGATAAAATGGGTCAATGAAATAACTATAATTCGGGTAGTGGTGTAAAACGGCTTACAAAAGCATTTACTTAGTCAGAGTCAGACCAAATGAGCAGTATGGATTTAAAGAAATCGTTTAAATTATTCATTATTGTAGGATTGATTGTGGAATGTTGTATCAATGAATATCTAATTTATTAATAGTTTAGAATTAATGCGCGAATTTAAGCATAAAATATTGATTAATAAAACTCAAATTTTATGAATAATATAATTCATATTTTTGTACGTACAAATAGCGCCAATATAATTACAAAAAAAATCGTATTCTTGTCTAATCTTATTGAGCGCTATTTATATTTATAAAAGCAAAAAAAAATAAAACAAAAACGACAAAAAAAATTAAATTTGTAAAATGCATTATCTTTACTTAGAGTGAGAATTCTCCGAATTAAGTTTTCTGCTAGCCTAAGATATACTGGTTATATTATCAATTTTGCGTATTACTTTTTTAATGTAGCTTTTTATGCTATTGCATCCGTACATGTATTCTATCAGTCTAGGGCTAAGTGAATCGCTTGACGATGAACGTTACTTGTTTGTACCATGGTTGCTATATGGTCACCTGTGCCATAGTTACGTGGCCGTTTGTACCAAAAAAATGACCGTTTGTGCCATAGTTACATGCTCAATTGTACCATAGTTACCTAGTTAATTTTAGTAGAAAAATGGCCGTTTGTGCCAAAAACATGGTCACTTGCGCCAAAAAAATGGCCATTTGTGCCAAAAAAAATGGTCATTTGTGCCATAAAAATGGTCATTTGTGCCACAGAAATGGTCACTTGTGCCATAAAAATGGTCATTTGTGCCATAGAAATGGCCATTTGTGCCACAGAAATGGTCACTTGTGCCATAAATGACCATTTCTGTGCCATAGAAATGGCCATTTGTGCGATAGAAATGGCCGTTTGTGCCATAAAAATGGTCACGTGTGCCATAGAAATGGTCATTTGTGCCATAAAAATGGTCATCTGTGCCATAGAAATGGCCATTTGTGCCATAAAAATGGTCATTTGTGCCACAGAAATGGTCACTTGTGTCATAAAAATGGTCATTTGTGTCATAGAAATGGTCATTTGTGCCACAGAAATGGCCGTTTGTGCCATAAGAATGGTCATTTGTGCCATAGAAATGGCCATTTGTGCCATAAAAATGGTCATTTGTGCCATACAAATGGCCGTTTGTGCCATAAGAATGGTCATTTGTGCCATAAAAATGGTCGTTTGTGCCATAAAAATGGTCATTTGTGCCAAGTTCTTGTTACAGACAAACAGACAGACGGACATACAGACACACGTGAATTACGGTTTCTAGACCCTAGCCTTTCAGTCTAGGGAATAAACAACAAATCGAGACAACTAACTGATGACGACAGCATACTCTACTGCTCTTCACTGGAGCATATCTAGAGAGCCATGATATGATCTAATGTTATGGCAGAATAACGTTAAGATGAAATACAGTGGAGCCCAGGCTGACCCCAGATGGGTGGATTAGGGTTAACGGATGCTGACAATGAAAAATTGTGGGCGGTGTGGCTGTGGCTGTGGGTGGTGGTGAAGAGAAGACTG